CCTTGTTTCCCTACTATGGCCTAAGCCTGTAGCCTCCAGGTTTCTGAACAATTAATGTGCTCACTTCCCTAAATCTTGAGTTTGTTTTAAGAACAGTGACCCACATCACACACACGGCAAGGCATTCCAAATAGACTGGGATTTAGATACCTGTACTTTTAAGGAGGGGTGATATTTTAGCCATAACCTATGCTTAGGCAGCAACACTTTCTAAAGTTAGTCCTAGGGGAGCTTTTGCTCTCCTATGTTTTGAAGCACTAAATTTTCTCCATATAACTGCAACAGTAACCTCAACCCATTACCCTTTTCTGGGCTTCACTCCATAGGCCTTGAAGTAGGAACTGCAGCACCTAATTTTAGACATCTAAGGTTCGCATTGGATCTAGCATCAAATACTTAAACCCAGAAAAGCATGGCACAGTAGATGCAATGACAAAGACAATGAGCAATAGTGATATTATTTGTGAGAAAACACTTCAGGGACTAATGGAATTGGATCTAACAGCTGTGCACATTTAGGTTTTTTTGACTCTTCTTTGAGAAATAAACTTAAAAGCAGAAAAAAAATGACAGTTGAAGAAATTTCTAAATATCTGAATGTCTTGGAAGCTGCAGGAAGTCTGTTTTCTGAAATTAGAATGTAAAGTCCTATATTTTATTCAAATGGTATTTGAGCTTGTTTTAAAAATGTTTTTACTTGTTTAATGTAAAAAGGAAAAATGGGTATCTCTAGACCTCCATCTGTCAGTACAGGAGATTCCTTATTCTACCATCTGAAGTTTCTTCCAAGAAGGATAAGGGACATTATGGAAAATACTCTATGTACTTCAATGCAGTGCACTTTCCTAATATTTCATTCAGCATCACTTGAGTGTCTACATAAACTAGGGATGAAAGAGGGTCATGCTGCAATAATACTTAGTTCCGTGCTTGTCAAAAGTAGCAATGAGAAAGCAGAGGGTACTGTGTCAAAGGGGGTCAATTCACCCAGGTTTAGTAAGGCCAAAATCCAAACACAGCCAGTACATGACAAGTAGAATACTTTCATAAAGCAAGATATTAAAAAGTTAAATTATTTTTTGATCGATACGCTATGTTGAATTTGTCTTACTGTGTTGAATTTGTCATGTTCGCAAATGAAATGATATGATTATTGTCTGGCTTTTCATTTATAATAAATTTATACACTGGCTGGCAAAGCTTCCCTACATGCTCAGGGGGAAATATTTCCGAAAGAGATAAGCACTTGTGGAGAGACAGACCTCCCTCGACCTCTGATTCCTGAACTCCAATGTGCTTGTTTTCTTCATCTCCTGCTGCATTTGTATAAGCAAAGTATGAGAAGGGGGGAAAAAAAGACAAAAACATGCATGCTTTATTACAAGATGATCAAATGAAAGATAAACATCAAACAAAAGATATTCATAACAGCAAACAAACCCTCAGTCTGTGGCATAATTTACTTTGTGAGTGAACCACAGATTAAATAAATACTTGCGTTATTAATATCTCTGGTTTACTCCAATGAGATCTTTCCACAAACAAAATCCAAAGATACATTTTTTGCAAGTATCTAACAGAAATCAAAAACCTGAGGTAGTTTTGTGCATGATCCCAAAGGCAGCCTAGTAGAAATGCTAACTAAGCTAGTCCCTTTATTTTGTTGTCAAGTGCCCATAAGCAGGAGTCACCTTGAGCAAGAGCAAAGGTAGCTCAGATTGCATAGTCACTACCACAGTAATTTACACACAAAAAGCAAGTGCAAAGAAATGTATCTTGCTTTTATTTTACTGTTGACTAAGTCATAAGGTTCCTTGCCAAGCTCAAGTTAGCCCAAATTCCAGTGCTATAGGATACATATGTGACCATATTCTACAGAACAAACTGCTCATAAGCTATATTTTTTTCACAAACATGTCACGGGATTTTTCAAACTACAAAGTCACAGTTGCCAGAATATGAGAGGTTTATGGTCAGTGTGAATACTGGTTCTCTGCAGTTGCATTGTGAGAGTCCTTCTCTGCATCCCATTGAAAGATTATAGGGGAATGAAAAACGCAATAAAATTCCTTCTCAATTTGCAAAATTATGTCTCATTTAACAGAGATAGTAAGGTGTGGATGAGGCAAAACCCCTAAAATAAATAGCATGTTCTTCTATCTTCAACAGTAATTGCATTTTCTCATCATTAGGGCATCTCAGTAATTCGTGTTCCTTACTGTACACAGCATGTCAACATCACATTTGACAGCTACTTGCTTGAAAATATAACAAATTAAGAGAATAATTTTTAAAATCTCTCTGTATATATATGGTACATTCTGGCTAGTTAATATAATTACATGTCTTTTGGAGATATCCAGTCTCACCCTTAACCAGGCTAAATCACATCCTGGAAGCAACAGAGCTGTGGCATTAACCAAATTCCACAGGAAGGAATTAACCGGAATTTGATGACTATAAAAGATTTTAAGTGTGACACAGCAAATAAATGATATGTGAATATTCTCCAATTGCATATGTGGGACGCTGACAAAATACATAGGTCAATGCACTACGGCTTCAAACAATTTCTTAAAAACATTTCTTACAAAATTTTCTTTAGAAATAGGTTATTCTGGAACAACCTGGAGCCAAAGCCTGCAACCACATAACACAGCTCACTATATTAAAGTTACCTCAAACCAATGCCTTTTAATTCCGATTCTAATCTGGAGAGCAGTTACTCAGAGCTGTTTTTTTCCTGCAGGTTCTTTCCCTTCCAGTTCTATTCCCATAGGATAACCATGGCATATGACACATTGCACTGAGGGCTGCGGCAGAATAAAAAGTCTCCCCAATTGCAAAACACTCTTTATTTCTACTTGATTCCCAGCCTTTTTCCTGCTTGTTAAAAAATGTAATGCAGTTCTAACCTTGTAACAAATACAGAATGTTAAAGTTTATGAAGATTGAATGAGAACGCTCTAAGAGCTACAAACACAAAGTGGTTTCTTTCTCCTTATTTCACAGAACTGAGATGACTCCTAACTCTTTTTTTGCATCTCTATCTATCCTAACTCTTTTCTTCAGCAGTATTTTAACTTCATCTGGTCAACATTAAAACACTGGATTTCAAAATTCAGAAAACTCGACCTTCAGAACATGTTCCCATGGAATATCAGATCCTATCTTTCATTTTCAGTTAAAGATATGTTTTAAATAATGACAGAAAAGACTACTTAATTGGGAAAATAATGTTTTCCAATATAGTCATATGGGTATTTTGACAATTCTTTTGATTATCACCAGAACACACAACAACACATTGGCTATAAAGTTTTCAGGTTTACTTGCTGCTTTATTTTCTTTACTATTATTATTTATATTGGCTGTAGTCAATCTACTAAATATCAGTTGTTACTGACACTTCACTCACTCATGATTGTTTTTGTAAGTGCAATAAATTGCAGTTAAAATAACAAATATTCACAAATATCTTTACTGACAAAAGTTAAACAATTTTAAAGAAAATAGTGGCCCTAAAGAATACAAAAAACCTCAAAATAGACTTACATGGTTTGAACAGAATATGAACTCTTAATTCATAACAGAAAATTATGTAGGATATTGTGTGAAAGCCTGCAAAGTATGGGTTGTTTTATAAATCACAGTGTTTAGCAGCTTTATTTTAACAAAATGTAACATGAAGTGTGTCTGTGCAGTGTAGTTTCAGGCTCTGATGATGCTTGATTGTATGTTAAAATTCTAGTATCTATCCATTTCACAATTTTCTGTAACCCAGATTTACCAAAAGACTACACTTAGACAAAGATACAGCAAAATATTATTCGGCTTCTGAAGTCCAAGAAGTACTTACCACAGGAAACAATTCTAGCATTCCTATAAAAATATTCTTTGTAATGTATTTATTATCTTTTTCTATGATGAGCTTAGTATGCAAATAAGACTGCTGGTCACTCTAATGAAACGTGGCAAAAATATGCAGTATGTCACATATATTGCTGCCCCAGAGAGCTCACAGTCTAAATAGATATACTAAGCAAAGAGTAGGGAAAAGTGGTAAAACACGAAAGCATATATAACAATGATAGCAAACACGTGATCAGATGCAATTAGTTCCTGAAACAGCTACGTTATAATTTGTGGAAGCATTTCACAACACAAAAGACAACGGAGAAATATATATACTAAGATGATGATCTGAGAAAACAAGAGCTTTCTTTTCATGAAATTTTGATTCTGAGATGCAGATAAACACCATAAACATTGTAAATACTAAAAAAAAAAATCTGATGGGACAGATACGATTTTACTACATATCTTCAGTGGTATAACCAAGGACTGCAATTGATATCTTATAGATTGTTAGGAAGCAACTTAAATAGTTTTAACTGTATAAAATATAAGGGGATATAATTTCAAGCAGAATTATTATCACTTTTTTCAAAAGATTGTCTTGATTCCAATAATTTTTGCTTCCATGTAATTTAAAAATTATCTAGTAATTCAGCAATTGCTTTAGACAACTGTATTACATTTTACATGCAATATTGTAATAAAAATATGATTTTGATTAAACGCATGGTTAATACTAACCACACCAAAGAGCCTTAAGTGCTTAAATTCAAATATGTTCCTAAAGAGTGAATCCTGGAAAGATAAACGTAAATGTTTATGTTAATTGGCTTCAACTGAACTTGGAAATAGTCATTTGCAGCAGTGTAAATTTTTGGCATTTAAGGTGGTTATATGTCTGGGTACTTTTTCAATTATGATAATATTCAGATAATATTATTTGTTCTCTCTTTTTTACATAAAATCCTCTAAAAATTATGAACCACAGATGTGAATATAAAAAAAAGAGTGAATAGTGATCACAATAATTCAGGCTAAGTCTATGAAATCAAGCAACATCAATTGCAGTTGGGTTTATTTTTGCCTATATGCCTCTCAAAAAGGCTTTCAGGTGAAAAACAAACCCTCCTTTATGTACAGACCTTCATAAGGTTCTATCTCCTTGTCTCCATTGTCTAGGGAAAGTAACAGAACAGAAACAAAAAAGGGAACCAAAGCACAGGGGTTAAAAACAACAGAAGTTTTACAAAAGATACAATATACATGTTCAGAAGGACTTAAAACAAAAACAAGCAAAAAAAAATCAAAACGGAGTGTATATGGCCATTTAGACTGATTTTGCACAACACACAGATATCAGAAGTAGAAGAGCAATTGGCTATCAAAAATGTTTTTCTATTCCTCTGTTTCTGAACATTTTGTAAATGTTTCCGCTGACCCATGCTTTTATGAAACGCTGAAAATAACCACATTTACAGTATCAGTAAATCATGAATCATGAAATATCTTGTTGACTTTTTCTATTTTAAGCACTATTACCTCTTTTCTTGTTCCTCCTATTTCAAGGTGCAGAGGTTTTATATTACTATTTGCATTACAGTACACTGCATGTGAGCCCACAAGCAATCAACTATGCTCATAACTTCCACAAGAGCCAGAGTTTTATCCCTAAGCAACATACCAAAGCTCCTTTCCTGTGCCTGCTGAAGTCAATGACAAAACACCTCTTGAGTTCAAAAGGAACAGGACCATGCTAAATAGTCAGTCCAGTTTGGTTCATATTTACTCTATTATTGATGATTCCCTTCAATCAAGAAATCATTGTAATATCGCTCATTTTAGATATTAAAACATACTGAAAGAAAATACTCTACAGAACACAAATTAATAGCAAATCTTGTCGTATGCACAAAACCTCAAGAGCTTTAAGCCACAGTACCAAAAGAAAAGGAAATACATTCAATCTTCATGAGCAATTCTGAAATGTGATTAAGCAAATAAACATACACTTACTTCTCTCCAACGTCCCTTTTGGTGGGAGCTGTGGTAACTGCCTCCCCCTTCGCCCTACTACTGGAGTGCTTGATGGGCTTGTTTGAACAGATCCGGTCCGAGGATGGGACCTACGAGACACATATCAAAACAAACCATAGCTATTAAACGACAAATTCATCTCTAAAGATCTGGCAAAATGTCTAAGAAGGTTGAGATCACTTAGGACCTTTGCAAATCGATTAGTCCCATAGCAAAACTATTATCACTTTCCAGAAAAGGACCTGGTCAAAAAGAGAATAAATTCTCTCTGATTAAAGGAAATAAATAAACAAAGTCAAAATAAGGCTAAGGAGCTATATGCTACTTGTTTGCTCAGTCAAGTCAAAAATGAATTGGGTGTATATTCACATATGGATATAATAATCACATATACATAGAATTAATTATGGGCCAAATTCTAGTATCTTTATTTATCTTTTATTTAATCAAACTTCCATTGAGTGGCAGTGAGGTTATAAGGATTTGACTAAACAAAACAAAGTAAAAATCTGAGAGGGCCTGGGATCTGGTTTTTAATGTTAACAACTTCCACTTTTGGAAAGCAAAAGACTCTATTCTGCAGTCCTGAAATAAGGAGAGCCTTTACTGAACATGAGCTAGACCAAATGTACTCAACTTGTTATTGCAATATAGTTATTTAAGAGTAATTTATGGAAATCTGCCAGTGTCAATCAGTAAAGATATAGTATTGTACTCAAACAGGAACAATACAGACTATGGCACAGTAAAATGTATTCAGAGGAAATGGTGGTTAAAATGGAAATTGATACACAAAGTTGGTACTGTCTGTTTAAAGAAACTTTTTTTTAAAAAAAAAATAGTTTCCTTTGATGTTTTTATGATGGTTGTTCCTTAAGCGATGTCTGATGAGGACAAACAAATTCTCATTCTGCAAGAGAAGAACGTGATAGTTATGAGGTGCTTTTTGTGGGAACCCATCCCGGATCCCTGATAAATGAGAAACCACAAATGAATGTTGTTAAAGACCGTTAGTAAACAAATTACAATGGCAGCCACACCATTATATCCGCAGCGGAATATAAATAGTGTGTTGGCACTGAGGGGGTTAGTGTCTATTGCTACTAGTGATCGGCTACGGATGACAGGCGGTATCAATCAGCTATTGGGAAAATCGGATGGCCGGGAGCGGGGCGGAAGGGGATTCGTCTGCTTGCGGCGTCTGTTTCACCTCGGTAAGGCGGGTGAAGGAGGGGCAGATCTTCCCGTCATTAATGAAGGCATCGACCTGATGAGGTTTGAGTCAGGACGCTCTGTGGATCGGGAGCGGGAGTTGGTCCGCTCCAGCACAGCACGTTGCTCTGTTGATCTGGATCTTTGATAGGGCTGTCTAGCTGCTGCTTCACAATTCCTGTAATGTTAGTTAAAAAGCAGCTCAGTTGACCTGGGGCTTTCCTAATACTCAGAAAATATGCTGCGCGATATTGGTTTGGAGAGAATCATTTTGTTATGTACATTATTTTTTTTTGGTAAATTTTCTGAGTTCTTGCTTCTTGATAACACACAGTTTTCTTTAAAAAATGTATTCTTTAGTTTGTTCAAAGAAAACTCTTGAAAAATGGGCTGAAATGTTTCCAATGCCTCAGTAATGACTATCCATGCAATAGTCTGTTTCCTGACAACATCGGGGTAAAAACATTGTTGTTTTGTTAATTTATCCATCCATCTTGGAGGAAAGGATAGCTGACATAATAGTAACTCTCAAAGCTGTTGTTTCTTTTCATTTTCATTGCACATTTTTACTCACAGGAGTAGATTTTTGGAGTCTGTTATCTTTAGAGGTCATTCTCATGAACAAGTGTTCATAGGGATAAACTCCACAGCAAAAACCATCAAACTCAGATACTGCTAGATGTTATAATTATCACAAGTTGCTGTTATCTGTATTATTAAACTCATGGCATCTGCCAAAATATAAGCAGGCTCTAGTAATGGATCCGTACGCAGCCTTCAGACTGCAGTTAGATGGAGAGCTACAACATCACTCACACTTGCAGAGCTTTCACCAACTAGATAGTTTGTTTTTAATATATTTTAAAAAAAATCTTCTCACCCTCAGCTCAAAGAACAGTACCAAAATATCAATGGAAAAAGTCAGCATTAGAGAAGCGACAGGGAGAAAGTGAATCAAATAAATAGAAGTGAACTTCTGGCTTGACCAATCTGGTCTTCTACCACCATAGGTAGTCATGCCACTACTTTCAGAAATTAATTCAGCCTCACCTTTCATCAGAATATAATTGCTGAAATTTACAACCCTAAAATATAAAAATTCACCATAATTTTAAAAATAAAATGTATACCTTAATGAAGCTATTTATTAAGTTTCCAGTCTTCCAGTTCTGCCTGAGTAATTGAACGGTTGTAGAATACGAATGGTGAAGGTCTTTAGGTCTTTTTCTTGAGCTAACTCACTTATTTTATAATGAAGTCAGTTAATACAAGGAGTAACTGGAGGGTGATTTAAGTATCACATAAAGCCAAATTTTAATTAGTATCGAAACAGAGAGGTATCATTCAGTCTTGCGTTATTAGCAACATTACATTTCTAAGAGGCCACACAGAGATGGAATAAAGTTTTCTCTAGGGCTGCTAATTTTGCTGATAAAACATTCATTAAAAGGAATGTCACTTCACGCTTTCCATGAGGTAGTAATTGGGTTCCCGGAGAATTTGAAGAACTCCCACAGACAGGTTCAGAACAATGTCATTCACCAGAACCTACTTCTACAGCTCCTAACTAGCAAACACCACAGCGAGACACGTCATGGTAATTATAAGCTGAAGCGCTAAAGATTGGAGGAAATGTACAATGAGCCTGGCACAAAACCACAACAAAATTACCTCATATTTTCTTCTACCCGTTCTGTTTCTGAATGGGAAACTTCGTCAGCAAAAACATCCACTGTTTCGCTTCTTTTACATTGCGGGCAAACAAAAAAACATAACCTTAGCTTTGAAATGACTGTTGCTCAGCTTAGATAACCACTTAAGAGGGGTTTCAGTGCTGTATTTTGCAAAAGAGAATATGATTAAGGTCTAGATTGAGTTCAATCCCCATCTAATGCACTCATATGTGCAAGGAAATTGATGATCCAATAGAGACTTTCTTTCTATTTTGGCCTCGAGCATAGAGCGAGCTGTAATCCCCGTACTTATTTCAAGAAGCTGGTGGTGGACGCTGCAGCAGGGCTGAGGCAGCAGCTGCCCAACACGACCACAGGTTCAAGCCCTTCCTCCAGGTATCCTCCTCTTCCAGCAGCACTTAGGACATACGGAGCAACGGGTGAGCAACCACCACAGAATTCATGCACACGCTTTGGGAGATGTTAAGCCTCTTTTCTATATCACTTCTAAGACCTTATTCTCTTTAACAATTGCATAACAAGTATTTTTAGGATACTGTGGATCTGATCCATTGCCTACATTGGAAGACAGGAAAGCATTTATATCATAAGGGCCAATATTAATGGCATACTGTTCTAAGCCATTCAGCATACTCTGCAGAGCATAGAGGTGTTCTGTTAAGAAATAAATGCTGCAGAATTTTTATATTCAGCAGTTAATATTATATACGTATGTATAAAATATAATATAGATAATATTTACTGCTGGTAGAAAAACAAATAGGAGTTCCTGGAAGTGAAGGAAAACATGGATTTTGGCAGTGAACCTTTTGATTTTGACCAAGTTGTGGCAGCACTATTGCTTTTATAGATGGAAAGAATTAGCTGAAACCTGAGGTGAAACCGAGTGGTTAACCCCTGGGTTATAGATTACATGTTGCAAACCTCTAGAACCCATGGCAAAAAATACTTATCTAGTATTAGTATAGTAACAGCCTTGTATGTTTTTAGTTCTACCTATTGCAGAACATTTCAACAGACAGATTTATTATGGTGTGGATACTCTTTGTCTTTTCTACCAGAGAGACATGTGCTGTAAGATCCAGGTCTTCAGAGATGACCTGTCCCCCTTTTATAGAAAAAATACCACTCTAATAACCAGCCTGGACAATGAAGCTTCCCACCTACCACAACGTACAGCTACACAGTAATGCCACAGTCCAGCCAGAAATGGAGAGTGGAAATTCTAAAGCACATTTTTAAAGCAATGAACTGAAAACAAAATACTGTGCCTTTTCATGAGGGTTTATGTTCCCAAGTTACCTAGATCCACTTGAAAGTTACATCCAGCCTGATTATGATTCATAAAATATGAATTACAGATGTTTAAAGAGGAAAATATGAATTACAGATGTTTAAAGAGGAAAATATAGTTAAATATCTATCATCTAAGATATTTAACTATCTATAAATATAAACTTTACATTAGTTTATATTTATAAATATAAACTACAAATAGATAGTTCAAATAGCTAAATATTATTTAAATAAATAAATAAATAATAAAAATAAATAGTAATTAAATTTAAATAGAAAATTAGAATTATTTGATATCCACATAATGTTTTAATATATGCTAGAGATTTTTATCATGCTAACAAAACTTCTATTAAAAAATGGTCTCTTCATTTAGTATTACCAGCCATAGCATCCTCTCCCTTTGCTAGGGAAAACATTCATAGTTGGTGGTCTTGTCCCATATTAAAGTGCAGAAGATCTGCAAGCATAAATCGCCCGTATACTGAAGGAAGAGTAGAGCAACAACCAACTATCACTCTAAAGCTGTTGGAGCTCTCTCTAAGGCACCATGCAGAAAAGCTTTGTGAGTATTCAGCTACACATTCATATTCCAAATCCATAAAAATTTATTTTAAAAGTTTAGAAGATGAGCCCCATCATACCCAAGAACTGCTGTAAATTCTACTAACTAACATATCTAACCAAAGACACCACAACGTTTTATATAAACTACTGATTTATCTGCATTGTTTTCTACTCATATTCTGGAAAATTCCAAAGCTGCTTTCCCAATGCAGAAAGTAAGCATTTCTAATTTTTAATTTTTCAGATTTGTTACTTAACAAAAAAGCAGAATTTTCAAAAAATGAATAAAATCATTGATCTAAACTTACGTATATAGGAAGCCTCAAAAAATGAACATTTTGGAGCAGTAAGCATAAAAGCTTACAGCATTAATATAAGTTGTTTCTTTGCAAAATAATTGAAAGTTGTTCATTTGATAACCCACGTAAAATATTCTTTTAGCTGGGTGCAAGCTATGATATCATGCCAATCCAAAATTTAAAAGTACTCCGTTCTTGTAACAAAAAACTGAAGAAATAAAAATAGAATTGTAATAGAATTATAGTATACTATAATTCAGCTCCTAAATCATTTTTTTTCTCTTTTTCATCTAGAAACACTGAACACGGAACAAGGAAAATATAGCAATACATTTTCTAATGATCATAATTTCAAGCTCCAGCTACTATACAATGGTAATACCTGTCCGTGTCTGTAGATGGTTGCTGGATTTCAATCCTTGGACATGTTACTCTTCTACTAGCTATAGGAACTGTGCTGTTTAGTCACAGACACAAGATCGTCTGTTAGCATAACACAGATAAGCACATCTGCAAACAAGTGAGATTTCTAGCAGCAATGAAGCTTAATGAACCTGAGATATAAGTACTGTAATAACAAACAGGAATATGGCAAGGAGTTTTACACTGTTAAAGTATCAAGATAAAGTGGTGACTGGCTAGCTTCAGCAGATCATCACTATAAAGAAACTGCACATAAAATTACATGCTGCCATAGTTTTTAAATGCGAAAAGGTAGAGCTTTTAGGTACTATGGTAAAATAAAACCAAAAAAAAGCAAGCACTTTTTCCCAGTAATAGTCAAACCTGCTATATATACAGTATATATATATACACTATATATATATATATATGCAGACGCACGCACGCACACACACACATACTCTGTGTGTATATATATATATATATATATACACACATACTCTCTCTCTATATACACGCACTATATACTATATATATGTGTGTGCATATATATATGTACGCACACACACACACATATGCTCTTTTCACACCCACATTATATTCTCAGGTGTGTGACAACTACAGGTATGTCTATATTAAGAGTCACAGGAGAGACTGACCCACACCATGCCAATACCTGAGCTCTTTTGCCACCACCTAGCTCAGCAGAAGACTCAGTTGTGGTCAGGCACGTTGTGCCCCAGGTGCTAAGCAGAGGTGGGAGAAGTCCTGTGCTTACAGCTTGCAGCCACTTTGAGGACTCAGATGTAGACATACCTCACCAGGCTAACACATACTAGCACGATACAATTACAAGAATGCCAAGAGAAAGCATTAAAAATATATCTGTATATATTTACTCCCCATAATATGTTTCCTCATCAATATATAATAAAACAGCTTAGAATAGCAGTTCCCGGCTTAGAGAAGGAATAGATCAGATGATTGTTTCCAGAGGTTTCCAGAGGTAAAGTGATTATATGATTCTATGAATGCAATGAGAGAGCTGTGCTAGTCATTACAAGCGTCAAGTATCAATAAAACCTGTAAGCACTGTTGATGATCAAACATTTCATATCCTTTCTATCTGTAAAATCATAGCCTATCAATTCTGTGCATTCAAATGATGAGTTTTGGAGAAATAGCTAAAAAATAATCGTGTATTTGAAGAAAAAATACTAAAAACATGTAGAAGATTTTTTTCTGCATAGAAAGTCCAAGCATTAACCAAAAAGGAAGAAGCACATTGAATACTGTAGAGAATAAGGCTTCACAGTTTTCCAAACTCCCAGTTGTCCCAGACTGTATTAATAGCTGCATTCAAACAAAAGCAAACTTAGCCCATTGAGTGCTAGCTTAACTTAAGGTATCAGTTTCCAGTATTTTACCAGAAGGCAATTTCTCAAAAAATGAGCCTTCTAGGCTGATGTTCCACATGTAGAGATGAACCAATGAATGCAAGCAACATTGCCTTATGACCTACTGATTTATCTGCTTGTCTTATTAACTTTCCAGCATTAACATTTACTCATATTTTTATGCTTAAAATATGAAATGTATGGAGGTATTCTTTCACTACTGATTTAAAAATCTGAGAGATGAAAAGTGTATCTTTGCTGTAAACTGCAATATGTGAAACAACTGTTTTTGCATGAATTTTTCTGGTAGTTCTATACTACGCTTGCCTCTACATGGAAACAGCTGTCTTTTTTAACACTTTGGATTTTACCAACCATTTTCATCTCTTACTATCTTTAACATAGACCCTCAATGTACACAAATCACACACAGAATCACACAGCACACTCAGATCTCACTGTATCCATGACATGAATCACTGATGATCATGATATGGGATATTCAAAAGCTATGAGCTCAAATTTCTCAAAGACAAGAGCTGAGATCCTCCTTCTCTTCCTCAGCCCAATACTACTAGTGAATATACAGATGTACCTCTCTCCAAGATAATAATCTAAATTTTAATAAAAATTTTTTAAATGTTCTGAAGTAGGGGTAGGCCTTATAACCTTATTGCAAAATATTGCCCATTTCAGAATACAATATTTCATCCAGTCACTAAAATGGTGTATGATAAAGACAGATGTAAGAGCAGTGGTAGCAACATTTGAGAGTTTTAATAAACATATCTTGCAGGCCTGAAGAATAAGTGATGCCTAAGGAAATGCATCTAGAAGCTTTTCTCAGCATCTAGAAGCTTTTCTCTTTTTTAGGGCTTAAAACTGCAAATTTAATCCAGCAGAGCACTAAGATTATATAGTAATCAAGGAAATTTGTATAAGACTCAAAATTAAGGATGTGTCTGAATATGCTTTGGGACACTATAGCACTAAGCCTTAAATTTGAAAAGTGCCTGTTCTTTTTTTCTTGGATGTTAGATTTAACTTTATAAATAGTACATTATATTTAACTGATTTCTCTTTTCCAGTAACATTTTAAAAACTGATTATGTGACAGACATTTAATTAATAAAGTGTCACAAACAAGGGTTAATTCTACCAATCTGTGTATATCTACTTAATGTTAGCAAGAGGAGCAGACCTGTAATTCTGACATTTAGTGTCAAAAGTTTTGTCACTTCGCAAGGCCAAGATTTCAATCAGATGATTCTAAGATAAGTATTTATATAAGTCTTTATTATCCTTTAAGCCCTTAAATCATGAATAATATAGCAAAGTTTCCATTAAAGGCATTCTGTGAATCCACTGACATTAACAGATCCTGTTCCATTTCAGTAGTCTTTATTAAAGTATATTTTATGATTTATGGTCTATTTAAATGCCATACTAGTTCATGCCATGTTCTTGTCTTCTATTCCGTTTTCCTCAGCTTTTTCAAGCTTAACTTAAATTAGGACAGAACATGCTAACAAATAAAAATTTATTTTTCAAGTTGCAAGTCTGTTATTTTTATCCTGATACAAAACTAAGTTAGCATCTATATTGCACTAAATTAAAAAAGGGAAGTAAAACTAAAGAAAACTATTACTAAACTAAATACTAAAATAATAAACTAAAACTATGTGTCTGTTAAAAAGCAGTGGAACTGGCACCAATAGACAGGGAAGAAATATAGTCCCAAGTAAATCTGTGTGGCTGCTCTAGTGTCTCTTATAAACACACCCAGAGAGCAAATAAACTTGCATTAAAATGTTGGAGGATGAATTTTGTTTTTCATTTTTTAGCAGAATTTTTTAAGTTCAAGTTGACAAAGTCACTTAAGGTCTCCTTAACTCTCTGACTTGAATTAAAGGAATTTCTCTATTAGTCAATAAACACTGAAAATCACAATTTAAGTTAAGTAGCTTTGGTGAACTGATCATAGGTAAACTGTAACTAATCTCTTCTACTTCTCTTTCTCATATATAGGATTATTTTATATAGTTGGCTACGTTCAAATCAATAGAGCTTAATAACCCTCCAACTATCTGTTTCAAGTACATGGTTATTTCTCCAGAGAAACACATTTATTTGTGCAGTTATAAAAGAATAAATAAAAACATAAATTTCAAAGTAGTTTCCCTACTAAATTCACTAATAAATAAAAATTAAACAAAAGCATAGAATTAGTTCAATTTATAGTATTTGAAGCACCTATTAATAGTATTATTTTGCATAATTTAAGAAAAAATTTTTTGAGATTTTATTTCCTTAATGAAAGGAAAAATTCCCAGTAACTCAGTGAGAGTTTCACTTCAGGACTTCAGGATTTTCCAGCAACTTGGACCACTCTATATGTTTATTTTAGTCAGCCCAAGCTGTGGGCCACTGACATAGCCCAGCTTCTATTTACAAGATATGGAAGGGCAGAAAAAAAGCAATCTTTTTTTTTCCACATTTCCAAGGACAACGAGAAGTAAAAATAAAGAATAAAAATATTGCAAGAGCAGAAACAAAAGGAAAGAGAAGCAGTTAAGCCAAAGAACTCTGACAGTGCAAGTTTACGTAGGAACATTTGGGCATTCTGTAGATCAGGAGGCAGAACTGAGGGCTGGTAGGTACGGAGTGCTGTGCAAGGCCTATGGACCCATCACAGGGAAAAGACAGCTTAGACAACTGCAATTGGGATTATTCCTAAAGCTAAAAAGTACTAGGTCTCAAAGGCACATGCCCCAACAGAGCATGTTTTAAAAACAGCTCAAACACAATCAGTGTTCTTTTTATATTTGTAATGGAATAAAACAATTTAATGTTGGAAAAACGACTAGCACAAAAATGTGTTTTTTCTGAGTCAAGAAAAGAAGTCATGAAGGAAAATGTACTTACTAGGAATACATTTAGTACTATAATAAAGCAATTATATAATAAGATTAGAAATACATTTTAACTATATCTGTAACTCTACACTCTTTACTTACCCATAATTTTCAGCTGAACCATTGACTACATGATCTGCCCATGAACTTGCACCATTGTACCACCTTTACAATGCAGTTAAAATAAAAAAGTGTTATAAAGAAATGCAAGCAATATTAGCAATACTCTAAGTCATATGAAATGAGTACTTCTCAATAAAATGGGGACCTTTCCAATTGTTTTCAAATACATTTTTGTTAATTCTTTCTACTTTCTCTTATGTATTAAAACACACCTTCTATAATTATTTTTCCCAATATAGCACTCACTTTTATTATTTTCAGCAGTTTAGCCATGAATTTCTGTTCCATAAAATCTAATGGATTCTTTATTTTTTTTCTCCCAAAAAAGTCTTAATGTTTTCAATCACTACTGACTTTGTGAAATAATTAGAAGTATTTGTGAAGAGACATCAACTTTAAATGTTCCATCAACTTTCATGTTTCATGAAGCAACAGCATAAAACGTTGCTCTTAATTTTAAATATTCAATCTTTTCAAGTGCATTTACTTTTCTCTTTGTTAAGTAGTTGGTTTCCACAGTTATTTAAGAAGCAGAAGAAAAGTCACATTGTACTCAGGTCAAAGCATGAAAACCAATTGAATTTTATGCCTCTATTACTGTGCCCTGTATAAAACATGGGATACCTAGCTTAAGTATTTGCAGCATCATTTCAGCAATGTCAGCTGGAGACCACATCCAAACAAGTATGGGAATATTTTGTGCTAAAGTAAAACCACGGATAAAAGAAATAATTGAGTGGAAAAAGCAGTTTTGATTTCAGGAGCCCTTGAATCATCTGGTCATGTTCCATGGTACGCTGAAACTTTATCTAAATCATCCAATATGAAATGCTGGTATCATACAAGTCTCTCCAGAGACACCACCAAATTTTTAAGATTACACTCCCAATTTAACATAGATTACGCCAACTGTGATACTAAAATTCAGGAGCAAAAATAGTGGTTTTAGTTCCAGAAGAGTAAATACTCAAAATTAGTCTGAAGTCAAGCTTATTTTTCAGTCAGTAAGGACTCTAATATGTCAAAGGTTGAGACACTCTTAAGTGTCTGTACATATTACAAAAAATAACCTGAAGATGCAATTTTGTCCTATAATTATTCATAGTTATTCGTATTCACAATTATTCATATTCATAACCGGAAATGTTGTTATTAGAAGTATGTCATGATTAAGTGGGTAAATGCTTCCATTATACCTAACTCATTATTGCTCGTCTTCCCACACCTTCTCATCAATAAGCCTTTTTCAACTAAGAGCTTTCTTTAAAAAACACAGAGTAGAGGGAATAGGGGGCTAAAAAAATGAGGTGTTTAAAAATAGAGATTAGCTGTTCTGCTTTAAAAGAAATACAGCATGACGAGTACTGTAAATTTAAATATCATGAATCTTGGCCAATTAAAAATTTTAGAATACACTTCATAAAAACTGTTACATCACTCAACTTTATCTATTTTATTATAGAAATAAAAATACCTTTCAGGAGTATAGCTTGTGTCATCAAAATATGTGTTAGGCACTCTTCTCTCCTGCCTAGTCCTCCTGAATATGGAATAAACAGCACAGATATTTCAGACATTTTAATAGTGATATTTTATTATGTGTTTTCCTTCACTGTATAATTAAGATAGCAATGTCCATAGAGTACTTTTATCTACTTTATGTTCAGTAATATCTTCTAAACTTTCATTCTAAACTTATCTTTCTATATTCATATAGAAAGTCATTTGGAAGTTCTACTTATGAATCACATTCAGAAATAATCAGCAACATATTAAGGACATTTGATCAATGCACATGTTTCATAGGACTAAAAAGTTGCATTGGTAGGAAAATAGTATTTATGCAATTGCAAAGTTTCAGCAGAACCAGCATTGGCTGTTATGAAATTTCTGGCTGGTAAAATGAAAGTCAGTGAACAAAAAGGAATCAAAAGTGTATTTCCTTAAGAGAAGCAACAGAAATACTGCCTGAAGTAAACTGCAAATATTGCACAAAATGTACATAAACTCAAAATCAGAGATTAAAGGAAAAGAAAAAGCAAAATTAAATAGCACACAGTATAGTGCTCTCAGTGATTAAGCTGAGAAAGGAAGAGTTCAACAGAGCAAAGCTTTCAGCAGATTTTTATTTGGGAGGAACCTCTTAGAAAACCTAGAAAAACAATCTTGTTTTATTTTTTTGATAAACTGGGGATGAAAATCTTGAGAGCATTCCATCTTGAGATCATCTGGATGTCAGCCAATTTAAAATGGGTGACTATCAAATTATGAACTAGACTGGCATAACTGTAAAGGGCTTGTGAACTGTGGGTTATAAATGAAAGGGCAAGTAAAACCCTGTATGTCCAGCAATGAGACCTTATGTACACCTATTCCGAGTGGCTGTAGCACTGTGAGCTGCTACTAGCTAGTGCTATGATGCTATTAGGTAGCTGAATATTACATTGAAGGGTCAGCAAAAATTTTGATAGAGTATTGTACAGCAGGGAGCTCTTGAGAAAGCAGTAGGACCCCAGTAGGACCCAAGGGAAATGAAGTCATTGTGGTCACACATCCCCCAAAATCTTTCTCGAGCTCAGGCAAACTATCCTGTCCATGCTTCCTCCGTTTCCTTTTGGAGGGCAGGAGTTGATCTCCTTCAAAAGGGAGGAGGCAAAATGATGACTGCACTGTGGCCTAAGAACGGTCTCAAAGTTAAGGGCTTCATAGAGTAAGTGCACAGCATACGATCAAAGAATATCCAACTTGGTAAGACAGCAAGTGAAGCAACCATCAGTAGAGAAAACGGCAAAGAAAACAAATTTGAGTCAACTTTGTGAAAAGAAAGAAACTGTTAGAAGAGACTGCAAAGGTTAAGGGGAAGGCTGTGATTGGCTATAAGTTGAATATAAGCAGTGAAGAGTCATGAACAACAAGGCAGCGAGTAATCTTGACCGATGTATCTGTATGACATATTTGCCTGAAGGACATACACACTGACAAATTCATAATGACATATAAGACATGAAAACCTCTATCCCAGATGCGAGATTCTTCCCTGAATGTTGGACATTACAGAACGATGATGTTTATTATTTTGATTAACAGTGGAAAATAGAAATACTTATTTTACATGTTTTTAAAAGTGAAAATAAAAAGAGAGGTGATGATTGCTTAGTAACAGTATGATTGATTAAGTGGATGGGACTAAGAATACGGGACTAAGTTCCTGTATTTCAAAAATAATGTATTTTTAGGCAAGTATTATTCTGGATAAAAAGTTAAAAGATAGATGAAGAAATATAGTTAAAAAAAAAAACTTCTATATATTTCCAAAACACACAATAAGGAAGAGGAAATGATTCAGGGTATTTATAAGGATGAGAACAGAAGGGATGAAACATTAGGAAAAGTCATAGTGACTCAGATCAGCCAAGTACTCAGATTAGTTCATATGTGGTGGGATGACTTATTTAACTTGAATACTAACATTCCCTCAGGCAACCTGGATTCAAGAGGATCAGAAATTCCACAGGTGGATTCTACAGCCCAGCCATTCCCAAGATACCGCTCTAACACTTGAAGTGAGTAAGACATGTTTCACCGAATCTAGGATTTTCCCTAGATTTTTTCTAGATCCCACCAGGAATTAGCTTTAACAGAACTCTAAAAGGAGGCCCTGGAAAAGACTTTCTCCATATCACTGCTTTTATTTTTCTAAATTCGAGCTTTTTCTTCTTCATGCACATGCTACCGTTTTTACTGTTTATTTTCATTGCTTTGTTTTTTTTAAGAGTTTAAAAGTTTCACAGAAATTAAGATAAAGTCTCCAAGACAAGATCCTCAAATCAGGGCAATCTGATAAAAGCTTCACCTTTTGCCTATGTCTATCCAGGTACAGATATGGCCTTCAGCCTGAAACAAATTCAGGCAAACTAAGGCAAATGTCATAATAACAGTATATGAAAATTAAATCTGGAAATAGAATATATTTGTGTACAGTTCTTCACATATTTTCAAAAAAAAAGCCCTCTCATTTTTATATCTTCTCCATAATACAGAAGAATCATTAGATACACTATTTCTTCAAATTAAGCTTCATAAAATACAACATAATTTCAACAAAAATATTTAGCTGTTTTAGAAAAGTTATGTGCATTATGTTACAGCTTTGGAAATTTTTTAATAAGCAAGAATTTTTCAAATAGAAAAATGGGGGTAGTATGGTATGAATTGTAGGTTTGCTATGACTATGCTTGAAACTAGAGCAAGGATTTGAAAGTATGAGAGAAAATGATATCCTGAGGCAGCCACGAAGTTGAAAATGTCAAAAAAACTTTAGTTCTTTCAAAGGAATATTGTACCTAGTTATGTAAAGCAATGGCAGTATCAACCTCTCTGAGGTTAGAAGCTACCTTTATTTTAATTAGCTCCCAGTTTATCTATATAGATCTTTACATAACTCTTTCTATTGAGGCACATCCATAAGAACTTTTTTTCTGATTTGCAATATTTGATGAAAATACCATAATTACACTAGTACACCACCATGTCTGACTATGTCTCTTATAATCCACTGTATTTCATGTGTAATCAATTCATATAAAATATTACAGGTTCTACTTCCCCCTGCCATATTTTCCTTACATTAATAAGCACTCTCGTGTTCCGTGGTAATTACAGTACCATAGCTGTTGTGATTGGATACAAGTACTCACAAATTACAGAATAAATTTTATATAAATATGTAAAACACAAATAATACTTGTACATTTCACTCCATTTTCTCATTTAAATAAAGGAATTTCAAAAAGGCTATTTCTGTGTACTTTGAAGTAAATAGGCATTTTTTCATTATACCAGAGAGAAATATAGGCTCAAAAAGCACTTCAGAAAATTCCACCAAAAATAAAAGTTATACAAAGACACTTATTTATAATATCCATATAACCCAATTTATGAAATTGACTTTTATGAGGCTATTCAGCTTCTCTCTAGTTGTCACACTTCAGAATAGTAATTTTTAGATGCATATATACCCCCAGAATATCATAAACCATTTTCATTGTATGTGTTTATCACTTAAAACATAGGTCATATTCTTAGCTGGCCACCAAACAGTACTGTAAAAGTGTAAGTGGTTGAACAGATAAGATGCTCCACAGCAATGATACCTCTCAAGATCATAGTAAGCACCCTCAGAATAGGTACGGCACATCTTACGGGAGCGAAGCAATCTGATTGCATCTTCACAAAATAGAGGATACATTGTGGGATCCTTGCTGCCAAAACATAAAGGGTGGACACAATGAAAAGCAACACAAAGATGAAATGAGGGCAAACATGAAAAACAGGACAACTCAACAACAGAAATGGAACAGAACTCAGCTAGAACATTGCTGAATTTAGCAAAAATACAGAAAAAAATGTGTATTAACCTGCAGCTGAGGCTATGAGAGAAGCATCACACTTCAGACTTATCTGTTCTGACATCTAACACAAGCAATCACGGATTACATTCTGAATATGATAATTAAAGTTTCAGTAGATGTGTTGTTTATTTTTTTTAATGCATCCTTAAGATATTGGAATGATATAAAGATAGTATTGTTTTCCTTTGCCAATAATTACAGACTATTGGCAGTGAAAAAAAAAGCAGAAAGTTAAGAATCAGTGTATGTTTGTCTACACAGTCTATGAAGTCTATACTAATGCTGATATTAATTCAGTACTTCTAGGGTTTCTACCACTATCCACAAGCTGCTAAGGAGGGAAGTACACAGAGCTACATGCATTATCCACACAGAGGCACGCAGAGGAGAACGTGTACCTGGCATCTCTGTGATGGTGATCTGGGGACTGAGTGTACCGGGAACGAGGTAGAGTGACATAATGACTGAGCACATGGCACAAAGAAAAATGCAAATATGAAACAGTGAGATAGGGAAGGAATACATATTGCACAACAGAAACACAAAGAGTACACAGAGCACAGAGGCTACATAAGCACTATGTAGAGCACTGAAATGATCAACAAAATTAAAAATCTGATGTAGAGTTCTAAAGATAAAATTACCTATGAGACTCACACATTTATACTGAAAGGACAGCAAGACACTTTGGATCAAGTGAACATCTAAAATTTTAAATGTTTTATGTTATTTCAGTTAGGATGAAGAAAGTATAAATCTCTGGCTGAACAGAATCTCAGTAAGTCATATTGGCTGTCCCCTTGCTTGAAGGCAAAGATATCAATATCAATAATATCTCTGGTCAGTCTTTACATTGCCTGTCTGAAAGCTGCCAACCTTGGGAATTCTGCAATATCTCCACACAGCTTGTTCCAGAGCTTTCCCGTTCCTGAGTGTTTTCCTAATACCTGTCTTAAGAGCCATTTACGATGAATTAAACCAAAGAATTTTTGTTTTGTCTCTCAAGGTCACAGCCACTAACCAAATATCACTTGCTTTCCAACAACCTTACATATATATACTTAAAGGCTATTACCATGTATCTACTGAGGTTTCCATTTTCTATAGTAAACAGTTCTTTCAACCTTCA